ATCTAGTAACAACAGTAGGAACTATTTCCACTACAAACTTGAGTGTTTTTCCACTGATGGCGCGACTAATCAATTTCCCTTATTTCTTTGTTTTTTCTCACAATCTTATTAATCCAATCATTATAGTAATATATTGTAGTATTCCAAAGCAAAGGATCTTATTAATTATACATTTATGAAAAATAAAGAAAATTTATTAAAGATATCATCTAGTAACAACAGTGGGAACGGTTTTCACTACAGACTTTGGCATTTTGCCACCGATGGCGCCACTGATAAGTTCACCTGCTCACTGAGCGATGACCTTTCTGGAAGCACCCAATCTACGCTAGTTTACACCTGTTTACACCTGCTCTAAAACAGCAGGTATTTTAAATAATTCCTTTTACTATTTTTGTTGAAATTGTAACAGTAGTTTTAGATAATATTGATATATAATATATACATATCCTATATGTATATATAAAAATAACTTTAAATATGCCAAAAAACTATAGACAATAATGTTTCACAAAATAAATTTGAAGTTATGTCGCCTATGCGGCAAGGAAAGACAGCAAGGCACCAATTTATTTACAGATAAAACCAAAGGAACAGTGTTAATGTCAATTATCAACAAATATTTCTCTAAAGAGGTATATTCCAAGTCTGTTCTATCATTTATTTTTTTTCCACAAGTCATCATAACACTTCTCTTATCACAGGTGATAAATATATCAAATTCCGATGTGTATTCTAAATATGTTTGTATCGACTGTGAACAAAAAATTTGTGTATTCGATGAGTTTTATTTAATGGTAGCGAACGTACAAAAACAGATTGCAGCTCCATCATTGGACATTGATTTTGCAGAGGTATTGTTGATCTTTTATTATTTACATTTACTTTTCAATAATTATCGTTTATTTTTCGATTCGTCGATTAAATGTTCTAAATATTTTGTTTCCAGAGTATGTTGCGCGAATTGAAAGAAAGGGATAAGTTACCAAAAAATACCTTGGCGAAACAAGGGATAAAAAGGAGTACATGTACGATATGCGCGAAAAGCTTTAGATGTCAGGCACACTTAAATAGACACAAGCGGATTCATACAGGACAGAGACCGTTTGTTTGCAATGTTTGTAAGACTATGGAATTATGCGCTTAAACGAAAATTATAATTGCATGTAGATTTGGTCATTTTTGGAGAGAATGATTTATTATCAAAATCTCTCTTAATCCCTAATAAGTTACTCTAAAATTTCTTAAATTCATACATTGCGATATTTTCAGATTTGCAGAATGTCCTTCAACCAACAAGAAATATTGATGAAGCATATAGAAAGACATGATGGCAGAAAACAATTTCAATGTGCCAATTGTCATCAATCGTTTCGATATAAAGTATCATTAAAGTCTCACGTGATAAATTTCCACCTGGACACAGAGAAATGTGCCAGCAACCAAAATCTACAAATAGAAAACAGTTTGTTCGTTTGTTCCGATTGTGGTAAACAGTTTGTGACAAAATATAAATTGCAGAGGCATTCAAGGTGTCACACCGGAGAGAAACCTTACCATTGCACCTTGTGTATGAAAACATTTTCGCAGACTAGTAATTTGAAGGTACATCAGGTGAAATATCATCAAATACCTGGTTCTTTAACTGAACTGAGAAGGCAGACTCAATACAGTAACGAAATAGTTGAGCACGATGTACCTGTAACGTTAAACAATTTTTGTAGCGTTAATATGTTAGAGACTGAATTAGAGAGTACAATAAACGAAACAATGAATTCCACCGAACAAAGTGGTTCGTACGCGGCAAAGACTTACGAGAATCCTTTGTATGTTGACAATGAGATTGAAACAATTTTGGATCATGATCTTGGCCAACTGGAGCGAAACAAATATTCTACAAATTTGCAAGTCAAAGAATCTCTTTGTTTAAAGCAACCAGAAATCCCAGAATTATTGCATAATTTATTGTACGACGATGAGTAACTTTAACTGTTTAATTTAATTTTCATAAGGTGACTGTTTCTAGCAATAATAACTAGAAATGTAAAAATGATTAATAGCTGCAGCAATGACCTTTAAGGCATTACAACATTTTTATCAAGTAAAGTAACAGTTTTATCGAGTAAGTCTTTGACAAATGTATACAACTATACTATTAATGTATATATTCTAAAACTGTAGTGAATCGAACTGTGTAAGCAATTTATCATGTTCAGTCTTCAAAGGAAATCATACAATGCTCACTTTAGCATTTGTCTGCTAATGACTTGAAGATTTTGCATCTAAAAATTATCAGTGCATCAATTTGCAACCACTTGCAAACCACTTTGACAATGTTAAGGCACACGCTAAGATAAACGATACAATACTAATAAACAAAACTTCCTTTTGTTTTATCTCTATATAAATATTTTAGTAATAAAGGTAATCATGCGATTATAAAAGAGATCAGTTATCATGATTTGGCAAATGCATCATTAGAAAAAATGAATCGCTATAAATAATAATAGAACTTTAATAGTTCTTTAGTGCCCATTTTAAAGACAATAAGTTTCATTTCATAACTTAAAGATCACAACTTTGTTTGGTCTGTAAGAATCTTATATAAAATGGCTTGTTTGTAGTCCACATATATTGTTATTACTTTTGTTCGTAATAATCTTTCAAGTATTTCACATGTAACTTAATAAAATCTGGTTCTTCTTTAGACCATGTAATTAAATTCGCAAATATTCGTTTCATTTCATCGTCCTCAGTTTGCGTATCCAGCAGTAAAGACATTCCGTTGTCACCATTCAAAGCATCTTCATCTTCATCTTCTCCTATGCCCTCATCTTCAAAGAAATTGTTCTCAGCTTCCATGCACTTCAACAAAAAATCATTAACGCTTTCTTCGGATGCTTGTTCCCCTATAATTACGCTAATGATATCCTGTAGATTAGGTTCCAATGGATCTCCTGGCTCTTCTTTTATCAAAACCTCTTCAGGGATTTGTTTAATGATATTTCTCCATGTGTTTTGAATATATGTGACGCTTATTTCCGTCCAAGCCTCGAACAACAAGTCTATACAATCCTTGAGATCATAATCTGAATAAAACTGTTGCACTCCATCTGGATAATTCATCACTTTGCGCAACATTTTACAGCGGTAGGATCGTTTGGTTTCTTCAATTACTCCATGGTTCATAGGTTGAAGGAGAGGAGTGATATTCGCCTGCAGGAATATGATTTCAAAGTGATCATCTTGCTGAATCTCTTTGGGTAGATTGTACTCTCGATAATTATCCAAGAGAAGGATGACTTTTCCACAGGAGCTGGTCATCGATTGATGCATCCTCACTGCTGGTTTAAAGTGATTGAGATACCAATCAGTGAATATTTCTTGATTCATCCATACCTGTGACTGCGATTTGAAAACTACAGGAAGGCGATCCTTGCAATGTTTGAATGCCCTTGGATTCTTATATTTGTGAATAAACAGTGGCACAAGCTTGTGCGTTCCTGTTACATTAACGCACAAGCCAATCGATACCCGATCCATCGCCAACTTCGTTTCTTCCGCTTCTTTCTCCTCGCTCTGCAAAGTCCTCGTGGGAAGCGCCTTCCACATGAGACCAGTCTCCTCCATCTTGTAAATATTTTCATACTCGATTCCTTCTTGCACCAGCCGTCGAGTGAAATCCTCTACAAATAATTGCTGTGTGGCTGTTGCATTTGCATCCCCGTTTTCGCTAAAGTAGTTCGACAAGCGAATACCATGGCGGTTCTTAAAATTCCACAACCAACCTCTGCTTGCTTTGAAAGTTGACGGCCCTCCGAACTCCTTGTTCAGTTCTATCGCTTTTTCCAGCAATATCAAATCCGTGATACGATCCCCAAGCGTCCTCTGCTCTAAAAACCAAGCGTACAAGCGAGTGTCCAGTTCTTCGTTGGCTGGCTTTCGCAGATTTTTCCGTCTTCTCGTTTCAACACCTTGCTCTACGAGTTGACACACTGCCCCTGCGTTTCGCCGTATGCGACGAACTGTTGCTGGATGAACGTCATATTTCGCGGCTACCCTGGTAATAGCTGCTCCGCTATCCAGTTGCTGCATAATTTCAAGTCTTTGTTCCACCGAGAGGGCAGATTTCCTATTATTTTCGTTGTTACTCGCCATTTTCATAGAGGTTAATATTTGTACGCTATTAGAATGGGCTGAGATTTGTCTCAGGGGCCCATTTTTTTTTGTTAAAACTTATCAAACCTTATAGTTTTTGACCTGAAAAGTCCGAAAATGCAAGTTAAAAGTTTAGGAATCCAATAGTTTAGAAGATACGAGTACATAAAGATGTGTGTATTTGGCATACTTTGACAGGTCTGAACGACGCCATATTGACTCTACCCATCCTCTGATTGGTTCGCTTCTCTTGCGAGTTACCGGTATTTTTGCTCAAATGAATACCCATTTGGCGATTAATATGCCGAACTATTTTTCGGAGTTTGTTCTGTCAATATAACAATTACTTGTTCTCTTTTACGATTATGAGGAGATATTAACGGAAAACACTGACCAATCAGAGCGCGCGGATACCGTTGGAGCGGCCGCAGTAGCGTATGAGCACGGCCGCCTAGCGCGCAACCTACGCTCAACCGGCATACTCGCGCTCTGATTGGTCCGGGTTTTCGCTTAATATTTCCGTAACGAAACCTCGGACAACATTTTCGCTAAGGAAAAAGTTACTTGAAATCACCTCCCGAACCACCCCTTTCAATGTGTTACAATATTTTTGGGACACCCTGTATTTATTGTATTATCTTATAAAACATCACTTTTTATCGTAGGGTCCCCACTCTCAAGACCTACGAGCACAGAATGGGTAGACGGGCGACTCGAACGAGTGTTCGGCTCGCAGGTCAACATCACCCGCTTACAGAGCAGATCAGTGAGCGGTGAACTTTCTGAACGCACCCAATACTGTACTCATGATCACGGAACCCCTGGTAGAACCTGGTAAAAACCTTGAAACACGAAGTATCCAGTAGTAACAGACAATAACAGACGCGTCGTGTCCACACAATAATTTAAGGTTATCTTCTACCACAAAATTTCAAAAAACTGAACTATTTCACAAGAAACTCTCCAAACTCCTGCAAGAATCACAAGTGTACTATTAATGGCAATTAGTCGCTGATATCCAAGTATAAACAATGCCAAAATATTACTGTGACTACTGTGACACGTACCTAACCCATGACTCGCCGAGTGTACGAAAGACTCATTGTCAGGGACGTAAACATAAAGACAACGTAAAGTATTTCTATCAGAAATGGATGGAGGAACAAGCACAGCAACTAATCGACGCCACAACCGCAGCGTTTAAGGCAGGAAAAATTGCGTCCAATCCATTCGCAGCGAACAAGGGTGCAGCGATTCCTCCACCGCCTAATCTTGGACCAAGACCTGGAGTACCGCCTCAGGGTCCTCCAGGTATGATGCCACCGCCAGGAATGCATGGCGGCCCGATGGGTCCCGGAGGTCCGATGATGATGGGTCCGCACGGACCAATGCCTCCTATGATGGGCATGAGACCTCCTATGATGGGACCTATGGGACCAATGGGACCGATGATGGGGCCTATGGGTCCTATGGGTCCAATGAGACCACCGATGAATGGACCGCCGCCTCCTATGGGAAGAACAACTACTAATGAAGAAATAATGAAATCGTTTAAATGATGTGGTTTTCTATATATACATGTTGTATATTTAATTCTATTATAGTCATGTACATATAAATATAAGCTTTAAAGTACAAATTTTGTTTGACGATTCATGATATTTTTAGAACATTGGAATATTTACAGGAAAACTCGAAACCTTGAGAGAATTAAATAGTATTCAAATAAGACTAATAGTAACTTGTAGTTTTTGTATTGCAATGAAATATCTTGTCAATAAACTATACTTATTAATCAAAACGAGACAAAGTATTGATGTATCTATACTGATATTGAAAAGATGAAAAATTGTTTGTATGTAGCGAGTAATCTCTGGAACCATTGAACAAATTCTTAAAGTTGATTAAGGAAAAGTGCTACGATATCTTTGTTTTCAATTAGAAATCTCAATAATTATAACATATAACAAATTATTATTCACTTTCATTTGAAAAGCATTTTTTATTTATTTACAAGAATAGATATGAAGATGATTCGTGTACCATATAACGTTACACTCTGGGAAAAAAATCTCCTTTGAAATTAAGTTATAATTATCAAAACTGTATGATATAAATGTAACATAAATTCCTAATATCAATATTAATTGCAAATCAATGCAATTTTCCTACATTAATGTTGTATACATTCAACATACCATTTTATGTCTTAGATTGAAATGTAAGACAAATTTTTAATCAAATGATGTTCGAATAACATAAATACAAACAATTGTAACACCATAGTACCTGTTATATACTTATAGTATGTACATTTATAATGTGTATAATCATGGATAGAATTTAGTATCCGTAATCATATTTTACAATATTTCATCATAAATTTATATACTGACCTTGCGTAAACTATCGCTAAGGTACAAATAATATCTAATATGTTCATTTCGCTAAAACATGAAATCAGCACAATATTTCCAAGAAAACTACTTCAAGTAACTATAAACCGAAGTCACGTATTGCCTATGGTCTTTTTCCAGGTTTATTAGTCTTTGGAGCATATCAATGTGCTCTTGTGTAATATTCTTATCACTCATTCGCTTCTCAACTTCCTCTATAGCTTTATTCATGTATGGTAGATTGAATTCCAGAGCTTCGATGATAACTTTCTTAGCCTTTGCTTCTATGGATGTCTCAACATTTCTCACTTGACTCCCTATGGAATCTAATTTCGCTTTCTTCGATTTCTTCTTCTTCGAAGCATTTGTTTCAGAGTTGACCACACTCACTGTTTGCTGTGGATTGGATATTTTTGTTAGTTCACTATTGTTTGATATTATTTCTACATCTTTGTCAATGGGTCTCACTTCGGTGCAAGGCGTGCTATTTAATTGGTCATTCTTAGCATTCTTCGATAATGTATTGGAACACACTGGTTTCTTAACAGGTAGCGGAATTAAATTAGGTGAAATTGTATAAGGGTTTCGTACAGGAATTTCCTCCGCATTATTTGGTGGAAGCTGGTTACGTGGTAGCTGTAAAACTTCTATGGGATAAGCATAATAATATCCAGCAATAGTTTTCTCCAATTGGTTTCCTTCACTGTCTGTATAAAACTGCGTAGCGTTGTAATCAGTTTGAATGTTATTACTCGTTGAACATTCAGTAGTGGTAAATGTAGCGCTTGGTTGTTTATCTTGTATCTGAGTATTTTTTGGCATAGCATTATTGTTTACATTGGAACTTGTGGAAGCTTTTAATTTATTACAATCTTGTGAATTCTGTTTTTTGACTTTGTTCTCTTTTCCTTTATTTTTCTTTGATTTCTTCTTGTTAAATTTACTAAAGAAAGAGGACAGTTCGTCCTTGGTCAAGGTTCGAGGCACAGTTACTTTATTGTATACCGTGATAATTTGCACGTATAGTGGCAAGGGAACGTCTGGCACTTTCTGTGATGTTAAATTTGCTATTTTCCTACTTAACAATTTTGCAAGTTTGCGTAGCTTTACTGCTTCTCGACTCCACACTGGTTTCGTATGGTATATTTTCAACAATTTCTTTTTTAGTTTCAACAGCTCTCCTGCTTTACAAGACAATATGTTAGGATCTTGAACGCCGGCCATCGACTTCTTCAATTTTTCTATCCGACTGCTAAGATTGTTAGCTTCATCTGGTAAGTCTCGATCCAGCTCCTCTAAGTTTGTTGTCAAAAAATTGAACATCTTCTTCATACCACGTGGTAGATTCGTGTCTATGTGGAGATTCTTCTCGTCGTCTTGCAGGCGAAGCCAAAATCCGAAGATCTGATGCAGGTGCACCGGAACACCCATTATCGATCGTATCCTTATCTTCAATACCCTCAGCGGATCAAAAAATATTTTTAATTCAAAGTTAATTATCTTCGACAAGTGGTCGAAGAACTCCACTGGCACAGGACTTTTCACAAAACTGCTTGCGTTTGGAACTATATCATTTGGAACCTTCTTCGTAAGTTCTTCGCCGTTCTGTTTTCTGGTATGGAACATACCGTACGAATACAATACACAACAGCCTTCGAGACCTTCTTCTGTCTCCGCAGAAAACTCGGCATTTTTTATGCGAGTATGTTTGTTTTTTTTGGATTTAGTCAATGGTATGACGTCTTTGGTGGTGTTATCATAGCCATGTTCTGCGGATTGTGTTCTGTCTCCATAATTTGAGACAGATGCTGGTGTTGGAAAGTGCTGCGACCACCGATATTCGTAGCACATGGAGGAATCGTGTCCGCGCTTGGTGCAATTGCAGCAGTAGAGTAAATCCGCAGGCTTCATGATTTCCGATAAGTTTTCTGGGATGTTTATCTCAGAGTTGCGTGTCTGAAATAAAGAAAAAATTATCCTCTACTGTAATTTCCATTAAGATAAGCTTACCGTTTGATGAAATCTTCTCCAGAGATCGGGACACTCCGTTGATCTATGCCCTACAGCTTTACACATGTTGCAATAAAGTGTGCGACAAGATTCGCAAGTCTTTCTAAACGTTCCTTGCTTTTTACCGCACTGCAAAGAATCGATACATTAGTACGAGATCGTAACAAAATATATTTCTTTCAGAAATACATTCGAACCGTGAGACACATTTTCTGAGGACATCGAGCTTCGATGTGTCCTTCCGTACCACACATGTAGCATCGAGGAGGTTTGTGTGGTTGAGTACAATTGTACGCTCGATGACCTTCGCATTGACACTTGTTACACTTGACGTTCCAAAATCTGTTTCGTCTCGAATGAGTCGGCATCAGGTCTTCATCTAAAATAGCCCAAAGTCTTGGATCCTCTATAATTCATTGAAGTATAGAATACTCGTACAAATTTTGTAACTACAATACAACCAGATAGGTTCTACCAACTCACTTGACATTTTACTTTGTATTTCCTGGATGTCGAAGTTTTCTTGACCTCGAACCTCGTTATAAAAGTTTTTAAGACTCTCAGACATGGGGCGAAAAAAATAATCCACCCACGACTGTTGTTTTTCTTTCTCTTTGCTCTGCTGTGGAGTGGCACTTGCTTCCGAATGTTTACTATTGTTAGTTTTCTTTCGCTTTGCGTTAATATTAGGTTCGTTATCTTCGTCTCTTCTTCTTTTACTTATAGTTAACTCGTTAGGGTTTCGGAAAGTCATTACTTCTACTTCCTCTGCGAAGGTAACCAATTTGGGTTTATCTCTTTCATACACTATATTACTGTTGTTGATATTATCTAACGGAGATTGAAATTCAGACGCGATATTTTTTTCGGTATTGGAGGATGATTTGACTGTCTCGCCAGCAGTTTTGAGTGATTCGGTTGTAAGTGTGAATGTATCTTTTGAAGCGTTTTTATCTTTGTGTGAGTGGGTGAGATCATTTTGGACATTTTTACTCATCTCCATTATTTCCTTTATACTGGAAGCGGCTTTTTGGATTTCTGTGCAGTTTAATGTGATGTCTTCTGTTGCGCAGCTTGCTAAGGTATCATCAATAGTTGTTGATACATTATTTGAAGCTTTGGTTCTTATATAAGTTATATTCTCGTAATCTTCTGTTAGATTACATATATTATTGATGTAGAATTGCTCGTTCCTATTGCTGCTTGACATGTCAAACTCGTCGTCAGAATCTGGTAACTGTATAACAGGTGGCAATGGTTTTGGTGGAATAGGCACTTCTAAAATAGATTCTTCGGAATCGCTGTCCATTTCTACTGATAGTACAGCGACCTCTTCGGAATAGTTACTGACTTTCTGTATCTTATCGCTTCTTGTACATATCTCGTACCTTGTCTCCTTTTCTATTGGGTCCAAGTAACTCAATTGTTGTTGATTTTCTTCTTCCATGTTTGTTTCATCTTGTACATTCTCTTCTGTCTGTTCTTTCTCTTTTTCTTCCAATTGTTGCAATCGTTTATTTAGATTCTCATACTTTTCTTGATATAGTTTATTGATAAACAACTTTGAAAATTCATATTTTCTAAAAATATTGTCAGGATTGTTCACTTTCTGCTTAACGCACATTTCTTCTTCAGTTCTTCCAGTATTATCGTTAATATTACATTGTTTAGAATTTAAAGAAGATTGTCTTGTTTCAAAGTTTGAACATTGCATAGGTTTTTGTTTAGTCTCTGCTTCTGTTTCTGGTTTTATGTTTTTGCTCGTATCATAAGTGTTAGCTGGATTACTATTGATATTTTCCTGTTTATGAGAAACCACAGACTCCTTATTACCTTTCGGCGATTTAATGCTTTCTTGTGGATGTTGTAAAGCTTCTCTAGATGGTACATTTAAATTATGTTTATTGTGTACATTCGACGATTCACTTTCTGTGTTAAGGGAAAAATTGAATTTGAAATTGCCATCGGAGTTAGATACTTGAGTACTTATAGATTTATTTGATTCTTTACTGTCAAAACCAGAATCTTCTAACTTAATATTCTCTTTTACATCTAGATCTTCCAAATTATTGGAGCCGTAATAGACAGCAGCATACAATCTAGATTGTAAGTCACAATTAACTTCTTCGTCATCGCTATTCTCAGCCTTACAATAATCTAGTTCACACAAATTAAATAATTTATTGTTATTATGCAAGCATGATAAACATTGTATAGGAAGTACATTATTATTATTATTATTATTATTATAATTCTTACCTCGAAATACATTGTGTTCCATAGTTATTTGTATGAACGCATGGAACAACTTGATGGAAAAAAGGAATTTGTAGATAATATACGCAACACAAACAATAACAAATCTTGGGTGAAATGAGAACACTTGTAACGTTTTCCAGAAAAGAATAACTTTGTGTAACTTAGTCTCAAAAAATTCTCACGTGTTCAACACACTGTACGTACAAAATTGAAATACACACATACACGTACTTGTTTCTTCTGCAAAATGTTTGTCATATTAGAAGAGTGTTTCGAGTCTAATAACATCGTGTGTATTGTATGGTGCGAGCAGGTATATAGGGAGATTTTTAATTCTGTAGATAAGAAAATTTAAAACAAATTTTGTCTTCCGGATGTAGCCATTCATTCGCCACAATAATGACCTGGCTTCAGCATACAAACATTATTCTTTATTTTTCATAAGCGCATAATTAATAAAATTCTTTGTATTTTTTTTATCATTTATACTTATACAGGGTGTTCCAAAAATGTTGTAACACCTTGAAAGAGGCGGTTCGGGAGGTGATTTGAAACAACTTTTTCCTTAGCGAGAATGTTGTACGAGACTTCGTTGAGGAGATATTAACGGAAAACACTGACCAATCAGAGCGCGAGTATACTGGTGGAGCGGCCGCAGTAGCGTATGAGCGAAGCCGGCTAGCGCGTAGCTACGCTCACCAGCATATTCGCGCTCTGATTGGTTGGGGTTTTCGCCTAATATATCCTTAACGAAACCTGGGACAACATTTTCGCTAAGGAAAAAGTTGTTTCAAATCGCCTCCCAAACCACCCCTTTCAAGGTGTTACAACATTTTTGGAACACCCTGTATTTGTATATCATCACTAGTTACAGGCGCATTTCCAATCTTATTTTACCAATCACAAACTCGAACACACCTGGGTATTTTCTCTGGGGTAAAATATAGTGAAATCCCTAGTTGTAGGCGTGTCACTAATTTGATTCCAACTTTCCAATCTATCAAACATTTTAACACATTTACCCGCTCACTGAGCACTTAATGAGCGTTAGTGAGCAGTGTAAAAATTTTCAATGAAAATGCAAGTTTTAACTATATTAACTAACTAGAAAATTATATATGTAATAAATCTTCGAATACATGTTGAATTTGTACGTTGATAACCTATTTTGACCCTGAATGTTTTGGAGATAATGCTATAATAATAATCTCATAATTCATTCTTCATAGATCCTCACTCATTATAGATTGACAGAGTTAAACAATCTATATTTGTTTAACTTATCACAACCTTGCCATTTATCCAATAGAATTGACAATATTTCATCAAATTTATGGTTCTGATAGAAAATTATTAATCAAAATCCATGATCATAAGACTATAATATTTAGTTTAAATTTGTACTGTAAAATGTTATTACTAATTATTCCATTAATTCATAAAGGATTCATATTAATATGTACATTTGTTCTTAAGTATCTTTTCAATATTAAGTAATCGAGGTTCGAAGTATTTGTCGTCTAATTGATTTATTTGTACAAAATGTAAAATACAGGGGACAGTAGACAGTCTCTTCTATCCAAACCCTTTCTTCACTGTGACTCTGAAACAAACTCCTCCTTTTCTCAATCTTAATTAATCGAAGAAATGTTTAAGTTACAAAAATAAACACTTCCGAACAGCACCGACAATTCTTCACTTTTAAATTCCGACACAACTGTTCCTGCGGGATACGAAACATGAGAGCGCTACTGATTTTTCTTTTCCTCATTTTAATATTTTTAATCAGTACTTTTTTTTTAAGAATTAAACAACCAAAGATAGCCACAGACCACAGAGAACCACTAACTGCACAATCTATCTAGATAAAAGATGGAAAGAATCTTCTTGAAAGAAACAAAGAAAATCACACCACGAAATTCACGGTCAACTTCACAAGGAAATATTTGTTTCTTTTAAAAAAACCCATGCAACTGATCGCCAAGTCACAACATGCATTTTATGATAATATAAGTAAACTTTTCTATGCAATGATTGTTTTTTCTTTCCTTTGTTACCACTAAAATCAACAAAATATTTCTCTCTCGGAAAAGTTTCCTTTACGTATCGAAGGAATTGTTATATCCTCGGATAACACTGAAATCATCGATGCATCTTCCTGTTAAAAATCATTTACATTTCTAACGTAATAAATATTTCTCAGTCGATGTCACTGAAACTTTGGTAGGTGAACTAAAAATAACGAATGCATTGACTCAGCATAATGGTCATCTATTTGTTGTTCCGACACTATTGTGTGATTAAACCACTGCACCTTCGGTTGCGACATACCGTAACGCACTTTTAAAAATAACATTTTAAAAGAGCGTCACAAGGTTGGTCGCCAAGCACAAACACTTGGATTTGTTTTACATTACACTGTACACGTTCTGTTTCATTTTTTTTTCTTTTATGCTTTTCAAATATTTATCACTAAACACTGTCCCTTTCAAATGAAACGATTACTGTCCCTTTTTCACTGAGAAAAGCACAGGAAGCCGTTTTAAGAATTTTTGTCTTTTTCACTTTCTTCGGTTCACTTTTTCAGAACACATCCACACAAATCACTTAGATAAGTATTATATGTATATATCACACAGATAATTCTACATAATCATAAAATGCAACTTTACAATTAACTAGACTTAATTACTGCATCGAACATGGTTCAAGCAGATCTTTCATATTCAGATTCATGAGTGTATCAAAAAAGATAAGGACCAACTATAAGAAACTAAAAATCCATTTAGGAGTTTCGTACGAATATGAAAGAACTGTGTATACACCCTCTAGAGCGTATAATAACAGTATATATTAAATCTAGGATCGTTATGAGTTATCTGTGATAATTGATCTTATTTAAGTGTTTCCACAAAAAAAAAAAACTTATCGAATACTGAATTGCTTCGTTATTAAGTTTCTCATATGTATATAAACAGTTATTACGATACGTTTTAATAAAAACTTTTTAATCAAAAATTTACAAAATACGTTCAATTTATTCTACCACCCTTATTAAGAATTTCATGTTTCTCTCAGCAATTCAGATTCGTAGAAGAAATCGATGCTTCTAATGGATATACAGATTCGTATGTTTAGTATCTTCTACTTTAATACTTCCATTATTTGTAACTTCAACAAAATCATTTAACTGTGAGCAATTTAATTATCAAGAAAATTGATAATGGTAGAGATCTTTACTTTTTGTATGTTTAACATAGACTGGAACGCTAATTTCAATTCATTCACATCTTACTTTTGATTGGGATTAGATAACAATATATTTTTGGAGCAACGTTAGAGAAATTAATTTACGTAAAATATATTAAGTGTATACGTAACACCTATGTATGATTATATATTGTATCACAAAATAATTGAATTTCATCCAAATATAAAGTTTGTCTCAGATCTGCAAGGATAAAAACTTTATCATCTTCTATTATTATTCTGATATTTGCTATATATTCTGCCTGAAACTTGTCTGCATTCTTCAAGTTCCTCAAATATTTCAATGAAATAAACTTTCATTGTATCCTATTTACAATCTCAAATGAAAGAACTCATCATGTACCAAAGTTTCGCGTCAAACTCTCCTACAATGAAATAATACACTACAAAAGTTTCTGTATGAAAAAAAATGATCATACAAAATACAATATTACTTAAGAAAACCCTCAAGATCAAATGAAAATTTGTATCTCGTATGAAATGTTTCTTCGAAAGCTGCAAATAATGTACTTAAAGTGATGGTACTAAACACCTTAGTCAGTATAAATGTATCCTATAGGTTGCTCTAATTGTATGCGTGCGTGCTTCATGCGCGCATGTGTGTGTGTGTGTGTGTGTGTGTGTCAGTGTCATTAATGATATCTTAGGCGCTACCCCCCTTAACAACGACGATTACCAGATGATCCTCTTTGAGTCCTTCTTCGCTGAGACTGGGACAGGTTCTTTTCAACAATTCTGTAGAAAATGCACACGGTGGAAATGCATAAAGAACCCCAGTTCCTTCCGTGTCTTTATTAAGTAGCGAAATGACACCGGCTGCTTCTTTCTGCTTCAAATACGACACCAGGTTACGCAGAGGTCTGGTCTGGACATTAGTGTCATCTGTGGAGATAACGGTACTCGAACCAGCCAACCCTAGGAAAATAGCATGCGAACTGGAAGTTTGAATTCTCTTCGACACATCGTCCAACTTCGGTTGGTCCAAACGTAATCTCTGCGTAATCCTCAGCATGTGCTTTCCATCTTCGTCTTTCATCAAGGCTTCTATTATTTCTGTGTCACCATCGGTTAAATGAAACTTTGCTGGAAAGAGAGAATTTTTTAAGATTAGAGCTCCTTGCCACACCGCTATCGATTTCCTTGCGACTTCTGGAAGTGTACGGGAAGTGGAAAGCATTCCAGTACGAGTGTTCTCTGAATCCGAATCAGAATCGATCGGTCTTCTACGAGGAGATCTTGATCTGGATCTGTCTACGCCAGGTTCCCTAGATAGAGATCTACGCAAGCTTCTCGGAGTTTCGTACTCTAACTCTGGCGGTGGTCTGCGACTGGACCAGTCTGCTTCGTCTCTCATATAACTGTCTGGATAAGTTCCACGATAGCCTCCTCGTCCTCCGCCTCTCCTTTCATGCCATGGAGCAGATCCCCTGCCTCTGAAACCTCTTGGTCCATATCCAAAGTCACTGTCTGGTCCATAGGGATCGTAAGATGACTCGTAGTCAACGGGTCTTGGTCTGAACTCTCCGCTCTCTTCCGAGTAGGGTCTAGGCTTGAATCCAAATCCTGGAGTTACATCTGCGAAATCTACTCTTAATCTTCTGTCTGGACCGCCTAGAGGGAATCCTCTCATCTCTTTCACGGCAGCCTGTGCAGCATCGATGGAATCGTATAGAATGTAAGCGTTGCTGTCACCTTTTATGTAATCAATTTTCTTTATCGCTCCAAATCTGTCGAATTCTCTCTCTAATTGGGGCACAGAGGTCCACGGTCCTAAACCGCCAACCCAGATTCTTGTAGTAGGAGTAGCCTTTCCATAACCAATCTTGCATTGAAATTTCCCTATGTACTGTCCAGAAAGTTCCACTTTACATCTGTGCGCCATGTCTAAAGTCTGAAATCTGACGAAAGCGTAAGCATTTCCAGTTCCTGGTGGAGGTCTCTTAATGTCTATGTCATCCACGATTCCATATTTACTAAAAATCCTCCTCAACTCCTCTTCTGTAATATTAATTTCCAAGTTTCCCGCAAAGAGCGTCCTCGTTGCCAGTGGATCATCTTCAGGAGAGACATGATGTAAATAATTTGGGAACTTGTCCTTCTTGTTTTCCACGCGTTCGAATCCATGAACAGGATGCCGTATCATCATGTGTCTTGGAGGACCGTAATGATGAGGAGGACCAGGGTGAACGTGAGGTGGTCCATGATGAATTGGTGGTCTAACAAACTCGTGGTGAGGTGGAGGAATTGCTTCTCGTCTCATTTCCCTATGTGGTGGAGGCAATCCAACTGGAGGTCCGTAGACTCTTTCATATCTTTCCAAAGGTCTGTGTCTATCTGTTGGACCAGGACTTCTAGCATAGTATCTTTCGTAATCAGGTGGAGTAATGGATCTTGGACGTCTATAAGTGTCCGGTCTTTCGTAAACTGGCTCCACAAGGGCCACCTTGTCATACATGATAATTCTTGGTTTTGCATGCTTTGCATCTCTGGCATCTTCAGAACTTCTGAAGCAAACATAGGCAACGCGTTCGTCTAGCTCGTGAGAGATCCTAATAGAGAAATCACCAAACTTCTTGTACTCTCTGTAAAGAGTATCCTTGATCACTTCGTCGCTAGCTTTCGGATGAATGGAGCTGATACAAAGAACTTTATAGCTATACGGACGTTCTGCGGGTAACTCTCTTGGGGTTCTTAAATAATCGTCCCTGTGGGAACTAGATTCTACGTAACGTGCGTGAGACGAGGCACGAGTAGGACTAGGACTTCTTGCACCTCTACTACGACGACGGATTCTTTCTGGAGTTATTCGTTCGTCACTGGAATCATCATATCTATAAATTAATGAAATAATGTATAACATGGTAAGGTTCCAATTTAATAGTAATGAGTAAAATTTAGATATTTTGATATGTATATACTAGCAGGATGTTTTAAATTCCAAATTTATTAATTAGAGAATACTTGGTTCAATAAATTTGGTAATACATTCCTAAATAAAAATATTTCGTTCTATGCAAAAATTGTACTTCAATTTCTTACAAAAATCTGCAATTGGTTGCTAAGCCAATAATTAATTTGAGGGCAAGTGGAGTATAGTACAGTGAAGATACTGCATTTACCCAAGTGTCGTGGAAAATAAGTAGTTTAATTGTAATGTTCTTTTCTAAATAGAAAGAGATTTGTGGTTCTTACCGTCCCATGGAGGATCTGCTTCGTTTAACGCGAGGAGGCGGAGTGTCTCGACTGGAACTCCTTTTCATATTATTGCGAATTTTAACTGTGATCTTATGTCGATCGTCACGCGGAATCCCAATCATCAACGCTGCTTAACACGGCAGAGCCGAACGAACGGTCAAAGAAGAAACAAAGAATCGATAATCACACGAAGCTTCTCAGCATGAACATATCGTCATTCGCAGCCTTAACTGTTCTCAAAGAGCACAAAATGGCGACCACTTTCGTTACTCGATTTCCGGAGCCTCTTTCCAATTTCAAATTACATTCCATAAATAAACGAACTAAACGTTCAAATTGTGCATTTCATAGAATTCTTGATTTTTACGTTGATTTATCTATAGTAGATTGTTATAAGTTCAAGTTCTACATGCGTGATAACGTATTATTTATATTTCAAAATTATTGATTCACGATTGATGTCGAGTAATGTCGTGCGTGGTCGTGTGATATCGTTGCGTCATTCGGCAACGATTCACCAAGCGCGCGCATACTGCGTAGAAGATAACAAAATGTGTAGAAACGTCTGATAGGTTGAAATGAAATTAGAGACACGCCTTAAGCTAGGGATTTCACTATATTTTATGGCGGAGAAAGCACTAGATGTGTTCGAGTTTCTGATTGGTGTACAGGTATTAAAATCCGTTCACAGAGCTTTTCTAGAGTGCACCATGGTTTGCATCATAGATTTAAGTTGAAGGGACAATAAGGTTTCTATATATATACATAACTACAGCCTACTAGAGTCGGTTGTGACATGACTATCATTTTATTCTATTATTCATGAAAAATATGATTACGATACTATTCCGGTTTGTAAAAATAAAAAATGGTTTAAGAAAAAGAACATAAAGACGCACACCGAAAGAATGATAAAAATTAACCAAAAGCGGGAAATAACTCACGTTTTCAAAGAATATTTTTTATCAACGTAACATATTTTTGATCTAGTATCTAAACTGTGAAATAGAATAATAAAAGTAAATGTAATTATAATCAAAAATACCATGCGTCACAAACATAACAACTTTTCCAAATGGAAATTAATATAGAAGTAAATGACGGAGGAAGTTAACCTTAAATGGCTATACGAATAGGAAGTACCCGCCCTTTTTAATCCGCCATATTGTCTTTGTCTTCCGCTTTAAGAAGCGACTCACAGAAGGGTGGCAAATAAGATTAAAAGATTGGTTATACCTCTGTGTAGATTTCCATTTTTTAATATTGGTTACATTACTGGATAATTGCGGTGAGTCCACTATCCTAGTATCTCATTTTCGTAAAGTGTACTATTTTGTATCGATTATGTTTCAATGGTTTACAATTTTGTGTATACATTTTCACCTGCCTGTCATTTCCTTCTATCAACATTCCGGCCCTTTTGTTCAGTAATTCCTTGATTTCTAAATATTTGTTTAATCCTTATATGATATAAAAGTATCCAAAGAAAATGAGATGGGAAACACGTTCGGTTTTATAATTTTACCAACGTATGTTTCTAAAAATATTCATCTATGGAGTATTTATACTACATGAAACATGCATGTACTTCATGTTTGCATGTGTGTTTGGTATCCTTGAAATCGATTAGTGACACAATATGTTGCTAAATATTCGACCAAAATATTAGTAGATTACAAGTATTTTAATCTCGTGTTGGACAAACTATCGATTACTTATATCGTAATCTATACATAAATTTTTCATAGTTTTCTATCGCAATGTATTTAGTATAAGAAATTATTAATCTCAAACTAGTATAGCGTACATAAGAATTCTTGTACGACATACTTGGTACAGAACAGAATGTTTAGAAAAATTTTGCAACCATTATATACAAGGAAAAAGAGTAAAACATTAATACATTTCTGTTATAGTGAAAATGTCAGAGGTCAACGCGGATCATGTTGACTCTATGGAGGAGGAACTAGAAGTAGAATCGAATTACAAGCCTCCACCAGAGAAAACAATAGAACAAATTCTAGAAGCGGATAGAGAGGATGAAAGTTTACGGAAATATAAGGAAACGCTTCTAGGGGAAGCAAAGTCTGGCGGTATCGTTGTAGGTGCGCATTTCGTTAGCCATTAAAATTAAACATTGCAAGAAAACTGGTGAATAAAAGAAGGAAATGATCGATTCTTACAGATCCAGACGATCCCAGAAAGGTAATAGTTAAGAAATTGGCGCTTTGCGTCGCAAATCGCCCAGACATGGAATTAGATTTAACGGGAGATCTATCTCAACTAAAAAAACAAACTTTTGTAATAAAAGAAGGTGTGAGTTATAGAATCAGGATCGACTTCATCGTGCAACGCGAAATCGTGCACGGTCTAAAGTATATTCAGAAGACCTATCGTCTCGGCGTACCCGGTAAGAGCTACATAAAAAATTACCTACTAGCTAAATGATAAATACTTTGAGAGTAATGTAGAGTTCAAAATTATATTCCATTCAAATTATATGCTTAAATTGTTGTATTTGGTTTCTGTTTAATGGTTTCGTTGCTAGGTGTCACAGGTAAATTTAAAATTTAATACGCGTATAATAAATTAAACGTTCCACCGTTAAACGTCCACTGATAGCTCTTCTCCTGTATTGCGTTTCAGTGGATAAAATGATACATATGGTTGGTTCTTATCCACCGAAAACAGAAGTGCAATCGTACACCACTCCAGCGGAAGATGCGCCATCCGGAGTAATGGCGCGTGGATCCTACAACGTGAGCTCCTTGTTTACCGACGATGACAAGCATGAACATCTGAAGTGGGAGTGGTCGTTTGAAATAAAAAAAGACTGGAAAGAATAAGGTTCTTTTCGTAACAGGAAATCATACTAACAATCGCGATTGAAATAAAAATGCCAAAAGGGACTCTAATTTTAATAGATACACAACCGTAATGCGATGCCATAACTGTAGTTTTTAAGTAACAAGAGAAAGAGTAATGTTGATATTTATTTAGGTACTTTTCCTGAATCGCGACGCTTGAAAGTGAACAATTAGGTACATAAAGACCCGCGTGCGCGTGGGGCAATGCGAGAATAAAAGAATGAGTGAGTGAGTTAGAAAGAAAGAAAGAAAGAGAGAGAGAGAGAGAGAGAGTCACTGTGGTCCACTTGTAGCCTTAATTATAGATGGTCGACATTTTCTTGCGATTTTTTTTATTCGCCTACCAGATTGATTCTAAATCGTGAAATAGTCATTCCTACAATATTTAAATACGATTGGATAACAGGAAAATATGTTCCGAAGCCGTCGAAGTTTAACATGCAAAACTTCATGATCACGGATTCGCAGTTGCGTCAAATTGGTTCACATTTACTTAGCATTTAGTTACGTTTGTATCGATTAGCAAAGACACGATCTCGCTTGATACATATTCGATCAAAGTACCACTTGCATTTAATAAAAAATAGAATGGCATTAGGGGCAACGGTGAATCCGCGTTCGTTTAGGTAAACTTCAAGGTTGTGTGCAAATTTTGTTTTCGTAAATTGAAACTTTTCCGAACCGTTTCTCCAATAAATTCCAAAGTAAAGAAAGCAAGGATCAGCCTAATATACATAAATGTATCTTTCATATTCTTTATCTGTATCTATAATTTGTTGTATTGTTTTCTCTGGTGGAGGCTTACGATTCGATTTCATGTCTAATTCCGAACATTTTTACCGGTGACAGAAAAATACGTAGTACATATATGTATCATTGTATGTACTGTATCTCTATATATATATTTCTGTATATATTATACTATTTCATACCATCAAACCACGTAAACACTTATTTTATAATCGTTTAGATCGTGCACAACATTTATCAGTATTCGATTACTTTTGCGGTGTAATTTCATATATTCTTACTTTTATTTTTTCTCATGGTACTGTATTAATTAAACGCTTTGAAACCTATTATGACTTTCAAGTTTACTTGAAGTTCGTTTTTAATTGTTGGATAACAGCACAAGCTTTTTTTCTTTTGGAAGCTTGTTAGGGACAACTCTATAAGATGATATAAGACCAAGACGAATGCCCAGATTTTAAAAACTTTGGAGAAATTCAGTAAATCGAGGGTTAAAAAAAGAATGGGAACTATTTTCACTACAAATTTAGGAGTTTTATCACCAATGGCGCCACTAGTACTAAACCCCGCTCACAGAACGGCTGAGTGTACGGTGGCCTTTCTGAATGTACCCAAAGCAGACTGATTTAATTACAGATTATCTTATCATTTTACAATTGTACATGCCTGGTCTTCATACATCCTATGACTTATTGCTTAATAAATAAATAATATAATAATCATGTAATGACAACGGTTAAAAAATAAACACGACCATATTATGTATAATATAGGTTAAACTTTACTTTATATAATACTATATATTATATATATGCTAATTTCAATTCACGAAAGGTAAATTTTCCATTTCACATAACTACAAAGAATACAAAAAAATTAGTAATGTATTAATATAACACATTTCACTAATGGCTCAATTAGGTATTTCAGTTTCTTCGGAAGGAAACGTACAATGAAAATGTACAAGAAACGAGGACTCGCCAAGTGCTTTGTATAATAAATTAGAGATTTCAGGAATAATGTGGACAACTTGATTTTTTATTGAAAATAAAAATCACAATTGCAACAACATTCATTATTTCTACCAACGGTTATTACAAATTTGTTTTAAAAATGGCAGCTCGTGGAACGACTATTTTCTCACATTGCAATTATTATATTTTAAATCAAAAGTAATTGGCAATTCAATTAAACTTGAGATCTCATGTAATCGACAATGAGGTTCAAAATGTTCGTTGTTAACTGACAACTCAGAAAACAGAAGGTTCTGTAGCTGAACGACTAGAAATTGAAGGAACTCGAAGTTCGCGGTATATGCTAAACGTTCTTTATTAGTTAATGTGCGTCTCAGCTAAGAATTTTCAAATATTTTCAAGTTTTTCTTTCTTTTAAATTAGCCGATATAAATGTTGTGCACGATCTAAACGATTATAAAATAAGTGTTTACGTGGTTTGATGGTATGAAATAGTATAATATATACAGAAATATATATATAGAGATACAGTACATACAATGATACATATATGTACTACGTATTTTTCTGTCACCGGTAAAAATGTTCGGAATTAGACATGAAATCGAATCGTAAGCCTCCACCAGAGAAAACAATACAACAAATTATAGATACAGATAAAGAATATGAAAGATACATTTATGTATATTAGGCTGATCCTTGCTTTCTTTACTTTGGAATTTATTGGAGAAACGGTTCGGAAAAGTTTCAATTTACGAAAACAAAATTTGCACACAACCTTGAAGTTTACCTAAACGAACGCGGATTCACCGTTGCCCCTAATGCCATTCTATTTTTTATTAAATGCAAGTGGTACTTTGATCGAATATGTATCAAGCGAGATCGTGTCTTTGCTAATCGATACAAACGTAACTAAATGCTAAGTAAATGTGAACCAATTTGACGCAACTGCGAATCCGTGATCATGAAGTTTTGCATGTTAAACTTCGACGGCTTCGGAACATATTTTCCTGTTATCCAATCGTATTTAAATATTGTAGGAATGACTATTTCACGATTTAGAATCAATCTGGTAGGCGAATAAAAAAAATCGCAAGAAAATGTCGACCATCTATAATTAAGGCTACAAGTGGACCACAGTGACTCTCTCTCTCTCTCTCTCTCTTTCTTTCTTTCTTTCTAACTCACTCACTCATTCTTTTATTCTCGCATTGCCCCACGCGCACGCGGGTCTTTATGTACCTAATTGTTCACTTTCAAGCGTCGCGATTCAGGAAAAGTACCTAAATAAATATCAACATTACTCTTTCTCTTGTTACTTAAAAACTACAGTTATGGCATCGCATTACGGTTGTGTATCTATTAAAATTAGAGTCCCTTTTGGCATTTTTATTTCAATCGCGATTGTTAGTATGATTTCCTGTTACGAAAAGAACCTTATTCTTTCCAGTCTTTTTTTATTTCAAACGACCACTCCCACTTCAGATGTTCATGCTTGTCATCGTCGGTAAACAAGGAGCTCACGTTGTAGGATCCACGCGCCATTACTCCGGATGGCGCATCTTCCGCTGGAGTGGTGTACGATTGCACTTCTGTTTTCGGTGGATAAGAACCAACCATATGTATCATTTTATCCACTGAAACGCAATACAGGAGAAGAGCTATCAGTGGACGTTTAACGGTGGAACGTTTAATTTATTATACGCGTATTAAATTTTAAATTTACCTGTGACACCTAGCAACGAAACCATTAAACAGAAACCAAATACAACAATTTAAGCATATAATTTGAATGGAATATAATTTTGAACTCTACATTACTCTCAAAGTATTTATCATTTAGCTAGTAGGTAATTTTTTATGTAGCTCTTACCGGGTACGCCGAGACGATAGGTCTTCTGAATATACTTTAGACCGTGCACGATTTCGCGTTGCACGATGAAGTCGATCCTGATTCTATAACTCACACCTTCTTTTATTACAAAAGTTTGTTTTTTTAGTTGAGATAGATCTCCCGTTAAATCTAATTCCATGTCTGGGCGATTTGCGACGCAAAGCGCCAATTTCTTAACTATTACCTTTCTGGGATCGTCTGGATCTGTAAGAATCGATCATTTCCTTCTTTTATTCACCAGTTTTCTTGCAATGTTTAATTTTAATGGCTAACGAAATGCGCACCTACAACGATACCGCCAGACTTTGCTTCCCCTAGAAGCGTTTCCTTATATTTCCGTAAACTTTCATCCTCTCTATCCGCTTCTAGAATTTGTTCTATTGTTTTCTCTGGTGGAGGCTTGTAATTCGATTCTACTTCTAGTTCCTCCTCCATAGAGTCAACATGATCCGCGTTGACCTCTGACATTTTCACTATAACAGAAATGTATTAATGTTTTACTCTTTTTCCTTGTATATAATGGTTGCAAAATTTTTCTAAACATTCTGTTCTGTACCAAGTATGTCGTACAAGAATTCTTATGTACGCTATACTAGTTTGAGATTAATAATTTCTTATACTAAATACATTGCGATAGAAAACTATGAAAAATTTATGTATAGATTACGATATAAGTAATCGATAGTTTGTCCAACACGAGATTAAAATACTTGTAATCTACTAATATTTTGGTCGAATATTTAGCAACATATTGTGTCACTAATCGATTTCAAGGATACCAAACACACATGCAAACATGAAGTACATGCATGTTTCATGTAGTATAAATACTCCATAGATGAATATTTTTAGAAACATACGTTGGTAAAATTATAAAACCGAACGTGTTTCCCATCTCATTTTCTTTGGATACTTTTATATCATATAAGGATTAAACAAATATTTAGAAATCAAGGAATTACTGAACAAAAGGGCCGGAATGTTGATAGAAGGAAATGACAGGCAGGTGAAAATGTATACACAAAATTGTAAACCATTGAAACATAATCGATACAAAATAGTACACTTTACGAAAATGAGATACTAGGATAGTGGACTCACCGCAATTATCCAGTAATGTAACCAATATTAAAAAATGGAAATCTACACAGAGGTATAACCAATCTTTTAATCTTATTTGCCACCCTTCTGTGAGTCGCTTCTTAAAGCGGAAGACAAAGACAATATGGCGGATTAAAAAGGGCGGGTACTTCCTATTCGTATAGCCATTTAAGGTTAACTTCCTCCGTCATTTACTTCTATATTAATTTCCATTTGGAAAAGTTGAATAATTTTAGTCGATCTAGGCTCGATCATTCCATGTGAAGCAGATTAATACATTTTAACAAATTACATTATCCTTATTATTTATCAGATATCTTATGATTGTTTTTCATTGAATGTATGTGTAAATAACAAAATATTCAAGGTAGATAAAGTTATCGCTCCACGCAATTTATTACTATGTAAATATCTATTTAATACGCACAAAAGAATTATAAAGAATGTTCACTTTATAGTGGAAGTCTATTCACTTTTATGATTAAACAAAACAGAAAATATATAATAATGTAGAATGACAGGATAATTGATATCACAAATGATAACACCCATTATTTGCAATATTTATTAACTTTATGTATTTCTTCTTTTCTTCTTGTACCATATGTATTTCTTAATACATACACCTTATCAATAAATACACTTTCGCAATTGTACTATCCAGTTTTCACAGATTCTGACTTTGATTTGGCTAAAATTCCTTCTTCTTGAAACTTAAGGAACAAAGGATCTCCTTCAGCAACCACATACGAAAGCACAGCTTTCTTGTAATAGTCTGACATCAACTCAAGATTTCTTATAACCACAGATAAAAGGTGCGCTTTCTCTACATATATACCTGCATTAAAGAGTCACTTGAAACACATATACTTAAATAATTGAATGTATCTCAATTTTACTTGGTGGTTCGAAAATGAGAATAAACTTGTAATTTTATTAGTCTCAACAAAACTAGATATAGAATGTATAATTGAATGTATTTCAAATTTACCTGGAGGTTCAAACATGAGGTACGCAAAATGTACATGAAGATGATAGTATGATGGTTGGTAATGCAAGTATATTCTAAGTTGCGAAGCAGGTATGTTATATCTCTTAGCAATTTCTGCTATTCCTGCATCCCTTATATTTTTCAATAATGGAATATGGGATGCGTTCAACTCTCTCATTGATCTAAGTTTTTGGAAAGGAAGTGCTAATAATTTTAAGGAATTGATTTCACCATTCCATTTGATATCGTGCACCAGAACAAATCCAATATTTTCATCTCTATCTTCATATATGACTTTTGATTGCTCTGCTTTTTTATCTAAGATGTTATATATCCACTGGAAAAGTAAAAAGTAAAATATCATACATTTAATACGTAAAGAATTGTAAGAATTCAGAAAGCAATGGGAAAGCGATATTATAATTTCTATGTCAATCTTCTCCAATTACAATTTTATTAAATTCTGCATACCTGTAGAGAAAAACTACTCGATTCAATGTATGGAACAGTAATCTTAGTATAAAGTTCATAGGTTTCATCAACCATATACAATTCCTTTCGTTTGAACTTTTCAATATGTTCCGGTGTCGCAGGGTGTATTACCATTACATTTAAACCTAAAATTACATTCGAATTCTCAATAATATAACAAAAGAAGCATATAATTTAAGGTTAACATACACCATACCATTGTACTCCTTGCTAGGGAAACAATCATAATTCCCATAAACATCATTGGTGAAACGTTTCTTTAACAGAGTATCTTTATTGCACAGTTCCTTTTTCAAAGATATTACATCATTAGAAAAAATCTGTCTTTCAAACAGCACAAGACTGGAGGCTTCATTTCCTTTAAAGACGCCTTCGACGCACACTTGCTTCCTCAGGCAATTGTTTTGTAATACTCTTGTTATTTCGAAGGTGGATAGACAGATTTCAGGTTTCCCTTTAATGTCAATATTTTCAGACTCACTTTCTGTCTGTATTTTGATTTTTTTCGCTGGAGGATGCTCGTCCCCATCATTATTTAAAGACACTTCCGCCATTTTTGATGGCATTCTTTTCAAATCAATTCAATTTATTTTAGGTTTATCTGTGTGTAGGTCTTGGAGCTTATGAGACTTTTTTCTTGTCCTTCTGTGGCTTTACAAATTAAAAAAATTAAAGAATAGGATTAAATTGAATTTAATTAAATTGATTAAAAAAAATATTAAAGTTAGCCATAGGGATGGTTTTTTACTCTTTCTACAAGTACTTTAACATCTTACTCTCAGAACTTTTGGAATAATTTGTCACGTTAGGTTTATAATGTTTCACAATGATTTTCCACCTAAACGTTATAGTCGATTCGTTAGTATTTATATTTTCAATTAAAAATTCATCATCTGCAGATATTTGTTTACATGGCAATCTATTGTTAATTTGTGGCTTTATATCAATGTGCTGTAAATTATAATTCCCTATGTTCAGTTGATTTCTATCAACAATTGCTTTTTGGAAGTTTGTAAAATTATAAAACATGTTCTGAACAGAATGAGTAATAATTGCGTTATTTTGTTTAGGAGTATCATTATTCTGAGATTCTGTAAAGAATGTAAAAGGCACATGCTTTACAACAAGTTTCTCAACTATGTAATCACATTCCTTCGGTTCACAATTAAAATTTTCCTTGGATCGTCTTCTACGATTGACTTTGAAGCAGCTACAAAGTAATGCGCAACATTTTTCTTGCAAATTTGAAGCAGAACTTGTTTTCGATGTATTAGAAACAGTTTCATTAGATGTTACAAGCTCTTGTGGTTTATTCATTTCGAAAATACTTTAATGCAATATAATTTAGTTGAGGTCTTAAGGTTTAATTGTGTTCAGAGAGTTCAAAAACTTATAATTTAGTTGGATCTTGAGATTTAATTGTATTCACAGAGTTTGATGACTTATAATTTAATATTCTTCATTTCCAAGGGATTCCACAGTAGGGATTGTAGCTTTATTGCTATGATATTGTTATATATAGTAAGTTAAAAATTGTGGACTTTTACAATTTTCTATTTGTCACTCGTTACTTACTGTAACAAGCATTTGGTTCACATTGACAATGTTATAATACAGTTTGTTTGAAAGGTTTGATTAATTCATGGGTCGCAATTGAACATAATTAGAAGGCTTAATATTGTTTAAGAAAGTACTGTAAATAATTTGACAATTTTATATGATAAATCAAATAATTTTTGGCAGCTTTTGGTACATTTCATACATTCGTTGACATTTGTTTTTGTTGTTTGTTGATAAATGGTGCCATCTGTTCTAAACAGAGATGGACAAAACCCTAGGCTTCGAACAAATTTTTTTTTTGCAAATTTTCGAAATAAACGCTTGATAGGTCGATAGATTTACTTTCTCTAATTACGAAATGCATAATCATTATATGTTTTTTTTTCATTGTTGTGCTTGAAAAACGCGAAAAACTGTTTCGTAATTCACCTATTCTCCGTTGCTCATCGTTGGTGGCGCTAGTTTACCTCTACCGAACACACTTCTTTTTTTCTGCTCTCATCTCGAGCATCTCGAGACATGACATTGGAATTGTTTGCAATGAAGGATCATATGAGCAAGTACGGTTGAGTGCGATGTTGTTTACTAAATTTTACTGATTGGTTCCACTAATTTATTTTTCCAATTTTTACTGTGACTTCGTAAATTTCTATAAGAACAATTGACATGGCTGCGATAAAAGTGGTCCCGTCAACTTCACCTTCAGTTGAATTAAGTTCGTACCGCGACCAACATTTTAAGGTTAGTCGTACAATATAATATCAAGCTTCCTCTCATTGTTTGTCTATAATAAATGAAAAGCAAAGTTCAAATGCTACACAAAAGGGAAAAAGATTTTTACTTTTGGTGGAATAGTTGAATAATTCACAAGGGGAAGAAGTTATCAAATAAATGTCTTTGTTGTTCTGTACTAAAAACTTAATGTAAAACTGTTAGGTTATTAAATTGTGCTTACATTAATCGATCACCTTTCTCCTCAGGGATCTAGAGCCGAACAAGACAGGCTCCTAAGAAATTCCACCACTTTATATGTTGGCAATCTTTCTTTTTACACAACGGAAGAACAAATATACGAGTTGTTTTCAAAGTGTGGCGACATTAGGAGAATTATAATGGGCTTGGACAAATATAAAAAGACTCCATGTGGTTTCTGTTTTGTGGAATATTACCAAAGGGGTGATTCTGAAAATTGCATGCGATATATCAATGGAACACGATTGGATGACAGAATAATTAGAACTGATTGGGATGCTGGCTTTATCGAAGGTAGACAGTATGGAAGAGGGAAAACTGGGGGACAAGTACGTATTTACTTACTTACTTTATAAATGATTCAGATGAATAATTCATCTGTAAAGGATCAAATTCATATATCACTGCACTAAATTTCCATTTATATTATTATTAACAAAATTATGTTGTTATAGGTGCGAGACGAATACAGATCAGACTTTGATAGTGGAAGAGGTGGCTATGGTAAAATAATCCAACAGAAAGTAACACCTATTTCTGATGGTGCATTCGGACGTTGAAATTATGAAACTGTGACTGACTTCCTATGTCCAATTTTGTATGTATAAAGAAATTCCAATAATATTTACAAACGAGTAATATAATAACACAAGAAATTATTCAATTTAAAGGTGCACTAATAAGATAAAAAATCATTTTTTTTTAAATATCATAAATTTCTAATACATTTAAATCCCTTAAGAATGTTCATGATTCTAAAAATAAAAAATTAGAATAGTTTTGTTCCACAAGTGTATATTTTAAAGTCTCAAAAATTATATGCTAGTGGTTCTACATAGAATTTTGCATTATTAAGCAAGTTATGTTCATTGATACTAATGGTACCCTATCAGATATTGCATTAGAGAATTTTATACGCGTTTTTCTTGAAACAATGTTTTGATGCACATGGGTAGCATAGTTATAGAAGGTTGAGAAGTTTGTCTAATGAGGAAAGTTCTTTTTTCATTGAACATGGTAATAAAAATGAATGTCGAGACTCAGAACTTTTTATTATGTTGTTGTTTCCCTATCTCTTACGTAATTGTTGGCTGTATGGGCCTGAGTACTATGGTCCATTGAGACTGAGTGCTCGAATTGGCTACCTTATTCACATACACATACATGCACATGTTGTTTTCTATTATAAAAAATAAATTTTCATAAGAATACATTTCTGATCTTTATTCCTGCACCCATATTTGTTATTTATATGTAAGAAGAACTTTTCAGGCATTTTAGAGAAAAGTTTACCAAACAAATAATATCAATAAAACGAATCATTTTTATTACCTTATAATATAGACATTAGTTGACTTAAATAATTGTGTAAAATGTTAACGCATTTACAGAATATTTTTTACTTTTTATGTGCAAAGGATACGAAAATATTATAGTTCTTTGAATGATATATTCTTTCTAAATATTAAAATTATTACAAATAGTTATTTATAAATATTGCTTTGTGATTTAGTCTTCAAAATGTACAACAAAGTTTCCTAGATGGCTTTTTCAATACAGCTCGAATGGCTTCGACGAAAACGTCTTCTAAATTTTCTCGCTTTAGAGCTGAGCACTCAATATATTTGTATGCCTTCACTTTTTTCTTCATCTTTTTGCAGTCTTTAATTGAAATTGTGTTGTCATTTTCCGTGTTCCTAAGGTCTCCCTTAGTACCTATTAGAAAAATGTTGAAAATATAGTTTCTGTACAGAGCACAAGTAGATTTGAACTTATTTTAATGAAATAAATAATGGAAATACTTGCCAACTAGAACTACAGGTGTGTTTGGACAGTGATGCTTAATTTCTGGGTGCCATTTATTCGCAACATTGTCAAATGAACTGCGAGAATTCACTGAAAAGCAGATCAAGAAGCAATCAGTCTGAAAATAAAATGTAATTATAAATCGATCAAACCCAGACTTGTATTGCAAACTAAGTGTCACTTAAAAAAACATTGTTTAAAAGTTTTTCATTTACATTTGGGTAGGATAAAGGTCTGATCCTTTCATAATCTTCCTGACCAGCCGTATCCCACAAAGTCATATCATATTGCTTTCCATTTACATGTATGATCCCTGCATAGTTATCGAAACTAAGAAAAAGAAAAAGAAATTATGCTTTGTAGATTGTTTGAAGAAGATTTTTTAAAATCCTCTTTAATTGAATTTCTTTCAATTTCTAGAAACGCAAGCTCGTCTAACCGAAGCACACAAACTTGACTGGTCTCAGAAAATTGCACTCTGGTACCTAAGTGTAAACTCGGTTTACTTTGCTTGAGAATATTGCGTTCAAAGGTCAACCGTACGTTCCTCAATTATAGTACAGTACTTACACTGTGGGCACATATTCTGAGGGAAATTCATTCGTTGTGTATGTGATGAGCATACATGTTTTGCCAACGGAGCCATCACCAATTGTTGTAACTTTGATTGGTCTTTGCATCGATGATACTTTACTGTTCTCTGAAAAATAAACAGCAATTTCATTCGTTTTACGTACAGTGTTTAGTTCTCAAAATCATTAACTGTTATGTGATCATTAAGATATTTGTATTATTACTATTCAATAAATTGTTCTATTTATTGAGAATATAAACAATTCAAGAGTTGTTCACAGAAGTCTTATGTAAAATAATATATATATGACTATTTACCTTTTTTGTTATTACACATCGTGTATAGGAGCTAGGGTTCCAGTGTCCAAGAATCTAGTTCAGTTAGCTCTCAGCTTCAATTTAATGAGGTTTGTTATCGCGATGCTAGTTATCAATTTATCATTCAGTCAACTCCATTATCCACTACATTATTCGGCTGTGCAAAAATGAGAGAATGCTATGATAGTTGCTATCAACAGGATTCACTGATAAGGGTGCATTGGTCTGAGATGTGTAGGACTAGTGATATGATCGTGATTGCAATTAATCCTCAGTGATCCAGCTACTCCTCCGCGGGCAAAGATTGTCACTGTGGTCTGAGTACTCCTTTCAGGCACACATAACAATAACTGGAAATAAAGATATGCAATAACTAGAAATAGAGATATGAATTTCACTTGAAAGCTTATAAAATAACTTTGGCACAAGGTGATTTATTAAGATCGATATTAAAATGTTTATTTGAAGTTTTGTGGAAGAAGACTATTTTTGTCCTGAGTGAGACATGTTTGATTTAACAGTTAAAGTGTTAATCACCATTCAAATGGTGACCACAGAAGTACATTCTGTCTGATTCACTGCATTGAAACGGTGAGCCAGCAATTGTTTCATGAAAATGATGAAATTATATTTCCTAATTTGCGAAACCAGTCGACCCCATAAAACTGAGATCATCGCACTTTCCTGCCAATTACTGTGGTACATGCTAGACATAGTAGCATGTCTTCAAAACAGTTCATTTCGAACAGTACTTTATCATAATCTATTGTTTGCTTGTTGCTGCTTTAGTATAAAACAATTTATTATGTAATATTATATAATTTATGTATTACAATTTACATAATATAATTTATGTAATACAGTTTGTATGATATTATATAATTTAACTATAATTTAATTTGTATGGAAATGCAGGTAGATGATACATAAAGTATGAGGGAATTAAAGGCAGAGGAAAAGATGGATAGTAGTATTGTAGGTGTGGTGTGCTTTCAACACACGACGCATCAAATAAATGTAGCCACGCCCATCCTTCCGCATTCCAACACACTTAGTATCATTTTCAAAATTTACTGATAACATTTATCCTACAGTAATGGAAACAAACGCTAAAAATTTCAAATTTTTATCTTAATTATTTTCTTATGTATATCATCCTAGTAAATATGAAGCCATTTTTGTTTATTTAACATATTATTGTAATATTATTTTAGACGTTTTTAATGTGTACTTATTTTTTTATAAAAGTTACAGGAACAAAGATTCTTTTTCAGGAAATTCAACAATTTAGTATATGAATATTTTTTATATACTAAATTTTTCTTTCATTAACGTAATAATTCTCAAGCGTGCTTAAATAATAATTAAAAAAAATTGTTATCAATCAAAAAAACTATTAAACGACAAAGTAAAAGTCGTTTTTGAAAACGTAGTTTCCCGGATAAAAATTTAATTTTTATTGCCTAGAACGGATAAACAATTATTTATCTAGATTTTTTTTTTCATGGAACAAATAATAGAAATTTTTATCTAGATAAGAATTTGACCAGTAATTAACTGATTGACGCTTTTTTAGTATCGTAATGTTTAAAACTTGTCATGTGTTATTTCGAGGACATTGTATGTACATGCATGACTTGAGCAGATAATTAAACACTTCAGTGGCGTACGTTTTTTGTAGCGTAAAACCGGATGAGGTGTTGATAACGAACCACAAGACTGACATGCTTTATCCTGTTGTGGGAAAATCAATGATTAATCTCTTGACGAATCATTATTTTCTTCAAGAATATTTTAAGTATATTTCTTTTATTCTTATATTCCATCTTATATAGTATTATTTAAAAATATTTGTGATGACTTCTAAATGACTAAAGTGTTCTCAATGTTTTAGTCTTTAAATATATTTTCGTCGAATCTCAATCGACATTGGACCATAAAGTGTTGAAATACTTGCAAAGGGCAAAGCATCAACAAATAAAAAAAAATTGTTAAATTTATAAAGGAATCTCTTTTGGTGTAGGATTTTTTTATTTATCATTCATGATCGACACATGTTACGTCTCTGTCGTAAAGTTATCCAATACGCGTAGGAGGTGACACTTAGTATTTTTTAATTGCGCATTTCCGAAGGTCTGACACTAACACACAGGTTCACGAGCACAGGCAGATTATGTCATCGCTACCAAAGTATACTTTATTTGTGTGCCCGTAACCTATTTACGTAAAAGTCTTGCTGAGTTATGTGGGAGAAAGGTAAACAATTGTTGATTGACAAAAAGGCACGTTTGTTAAAAATGGAGGATTATTTATTAGACGTAGAAAATTAATTTTGAGAGTTCATGTTTAATTGTTTAGGAGCTTAGTTTGCAGAATGTTGTTCTTCTAATAGATTACAAATTATAATCGACAGTTATAAAATATTCTCAAAGTTTCATTAAATGATATACATTCCTTTCTTGCTAAAAAAAATTCATGCAAATCGCTAAAAAAAAAAACGGTAGTCCTAAACCTATTTCCCCCATCAGATGATAATGCAAACGACATGGGGTAAAATTTATCTGCTTATCGCGAATAAAAAGCTGTATCGACATTATATACGTAAGCTATTATCCAAATTAAATTCTACTCGTCCCTGTGAATAACATTATCGATCTTTCTTTTTCTTTTTGTTTCAATTTCTTGTCCACGAAATAGGCGCGAGATGGTATCTGCACGTTTCAAGTTACAATAATAAGTACAATATAAATAATAATGTGATAAGAAGCGATAAGATTATTAAAGCACCTCGTCGCATGTGTTGTTGCGAGTAATTTCGATGAAATCACGATTATAATACTATAAGAGATTGACAAATTTCCGAGAAACGTGACAAATACTTAATTGCGCTTAATGGAGACACATAATTAATATTATATCGGTAATTTCAGAAAGTGTAGCATTGTTTATGACTCTTTCAATTATTATAATAATTTAATTTCATTAAATTCCGTGATTCCGGAATTATACACCAAGCATTAAGATTCAATCACTATGATTAAGTTAAAATTAGATAAGTTTAACGTTAAACAATTTCGTTTTATCTTGAAATTTAAGATTTGAAAATGACCTCGAAAGTCAGCTCATTTTTCAGAATCCAATTTGACAGAAAGTGATAATCGGCTTTTTATATTTGTGCAGTTGTAAAACTGTATGATACTTAAAGTAAACAAAGTGACGTACATCCTACGTTAAACTGGTAATTTTAATTAGAACTTATAATTTACGAATCGAAAATTTTGAGCATTTCGATTGTACAAAAATGAATTGATAAAAAATGAGTAATTTTTTTTTTTTAAATTGGCCATATTTTTAGAATAAATGACTTTGCGTGATACAACACATTAGTAGAATAGATTCAAGGAGAGATAACAATACTACTATGCGAGATAAATAATAATGGCAATTCCACAGTGAAACTCACACAGTTACATTAAGAATAAATTTCATCCAAAAAATTCCAATAAAACAATTTAAAATAAAAGAATTACATAAAAAGTTACATTACTGTCTCTTAAAATAACCCTTTGAACAAAACCAAATTCAAAGTACCATAAATAATCTCAAAGTACCAATCTCTACAATAGATCAATACATAAAAATATTATAAAACCGTTAAAATAAAATATAATATCAATAGAACCATTTGAAACAGAAAAAAAAGTTACATTATATGATTAACACAGTTTCCATCATAATATTTTTATAGGCAGTAGCTCCAAGGAACAATATCTGAAAAACTTCATAAAAGAAAAACATAATAATTTTGGACTCACCAAATATTGCAAAGCTTTCGCCAGAAAATATAATCAAGCATCGAAACACGTGTCGATCGTTTTGAAAACAGTGTGGAGGAAGATTTTCGTTGTATGCACGATTTTAAACTCACTGGCTAATTGAAATTCCTTTAGTTCCCGTCGGACGGTAACGGGAAAGGTACGTGGATGCACTTTGCGCGACGGTCAGTCGACAACTACGACACCGGCGACGCGTTTTAAACGTTTATCGAAACATCAATTGCGCTACACGCACAGTCTAGAAATATAGAGGAACCGTAGGAGCGTTTTTAATTTGATTTTTATCAACAATAAGGAATTTAAAAGTGGCGCTGTTTCTTGTACTCTAATGGCGCCAAATTCTTTCTTTCATTTTTAAAAAGTTGCAAAATTGCAAAATTGAAAGATTTGTGGTGGGGGTAATATTATTAAAAATGTATTTCTTTTTCATTTTTTACGAAGGTGTTATAAAACGTTAAAACCATTTAATTTTGTATTTAATATGTTGTCAATATCTCTCATAAATTACTACATAAATTAAAATTCTAAATTACACACTCCCTACATTGGAAGTGATAAATAGTTTCATATTCCTAAATAGTACATGCTTGATGACGCAGTCGTTTTAATTAATTACCACACGGCAAACATAAACCGATTGTTCGACGAGTTTGGTACAATGCCGTGGTTTGCATTCTTTCAATATTATTAAAAACATTCTATGTCTTTTAAACATTCAACTATCCTTAAACATTAATATATTAAGAATATATAGAAATGTAAAAAATTTATTTAATGTGTACATTAAATGTATATGACAATTTCATTAATGTTTATTAATTTTTATCTTCAATTATGGTATCTAGTAACTGTTTAAGTTGCATTCCAGCACTTATTCTAGTGAATGGTTTCCGAGGAGTAATGCATTGTTCTATTAAATATTCCACATTTGGATACGTTTTTAATATATCTGTTGGTATATTATGCAGAAGACCACCAGGTAACACACCGTCGTCTATATTTAATGCTAATAATGTCTGCGAACATAATTCTTCATAATTTTTCGAATTGAACTTTGCAAGTAAACAACAAGTAAAATGTTAACATAAATACTGTATTTAATAAATACCAACTGACCTTACATATAGCATAATAATTGTGATCACTGGTCTTGTGATTGCATATTTCAGCAGGAGAATATGCTAGGCATTCTGTGCAATTTAAATTCTCAGTATTTTCTTGTAATTGATTCCACATTGATTTTTCTAAAAATATATGCATACACCTCTCAAATATTATCTATTTAAAAGTTTTAGCATCATTGTATATTTTTTTTTATTTATTTATTTCTTTATGATCCTATATAGAATAAAGCTATTACCTTTATATATACTATTTTTATCAACAATAATCACATTCTCCAAGTCCACAAATTTTGCGTTATTATTTGAATCGATTGCTATGTTATCAGCTGATACATCAGTTAAATAAAAACCAAAATCATTGCTTCTATAGGTGAACATGTAAGCAGCATTTAAAAGACTTGAAGCTATTTTGGCTCTAAGCAACCATGATTTGTTGTAGTAAGCCGTCAGTGGTGATCCAACATATTCTTCAATTACAATACGTCCACATGCACCCAAATATTTTGGTACTGGCCAATTATTGTTTGCAGGGAGTATCTGTGAACAAAGACTAGAATGACAAATATTACCTAAATACCATAAATAATTTATATACCTGCAAAAGAAGAGGCTCAGGATTCAGAATTATTGACATCCAAATATTTATTTCGAGTGTTTTCAAATCAACCTGCTCGTTGTTCACATATACGTACTCTAACAGATTCCGCAAATGTTGAGCATTCGGACAGAGTCTCAAGCGAACCAAGTTATCTTTCGCAAAATCCAAGGTAACTTCTCGCACGATCAATTCATAGAAATCTATACTAGTTTTATTATTTACATTCTTTAGATTCTTTTCACAAATATGGCCAAAGTTTTCATTTTCGCAGAGCATTCGGTCAAAGTCATTCAATTCAGATGAATGCGCCAACTTCTTTAATATAACCTTATTGTTGATAAAAAATCCAAAGAATACATTTTTCACTCCGAAGAGGTAAGAAAAGGTTGAATAGAAATCGTATGGTGTGATATCCACTTTGTGGATGTAATTGCATGCTGAAGTACCAAAACAAGCTGGACATTTATGTAATTCTGTCAAGTAATTTATGTTTGGTTGGAAAGTTATGATTTTGGACCATTTGAAAATAATGAATATTATTACGAAGAATAGTAATTTCCATTTTTTAAACTTTAGGATGTTGTATATATATGATAAAATCATAAGTTGGTACTACAATTTTTTATTTCAATATGAATATTGGAGTATTTTCCTTTGTTGTTTATTTTCAGATTTTTTAGGTTAAGTAAGTATAAACACAGGGTTATTTTTAGGTTAGGAAAATATCAACGGAGGAGGTTACATATGTGTTTTAGATTTCTTTGTGGATGTGCAGAAGAGGGGCAAGAAGCACTAACAAATACTAGTCCTACTTTTTAATTAATTAAATAAAAATTGTTCATAAATGAATACAGATGTTCAAGTAACTAACAATTCAGATTCCTGTAAATAAATGTAATACATCATTGCGTATCCTTCTTCAACAATATTGAACAATTTTTTTCAAATATAGATATATACTACAGATTATTTGTTTTAAATATTTAATAAGACTATTAATGTAACTCAATTATGCTCTTACAACCTTATCTAATATGACTCAATTTTTGAAGCAAAAAAATAAACCACTTGTTACACTCATTAGTTTTATTAATTCATACTCATATTTTTAATTTCTTAGACTTCAAAATTTAACTCTGGAAAGACCTTCCTATTATTTACAGTTACATTTGCAATTTTGTCTACGAGCATGATTACTCCACTGACGACGCAGCTCTGAGAAGTTATTTAGCCACTTGCAGTCGGGTTTAGGTGGTTTGTTGCTGTTCCATATCATTTCTTCTACGCATTGACAAGTATTGGAGCAAGAATTTATTATACTAATAGGGTGAAAAGTGTTACAGTTGGTGCAAGCAAAACTCTCTTCTTTATTTCGACATAAACAGAAGTGTATTGCAGCATCTGGTATTAAACATTTCTTCTTTTGGGCAGTGCAGTCATTCACTATATGAAATATTAAATTATATGAAATGTTTGTTAAAAGGAAGAACTGAGATTTTATGAAGATACCATAAACACCGCTGCAAGATAATTGTTCAGTTTCGTTAGTTCTCTTGCAACAACTCATACTTAAGAAAAAATTGAAGTTTTATGTGATATAATTTGTGTCGTCAATAGTTATTGTTTTGCTACTATCGTATACATAAATTTAGATTATATTTGTACAATTTGTATTGATGTAATAATAATGTTAGTTGAGAAGAGGAAAGATGGAAATTGGTGTGAAAACTTTCATCTGTTTTGTTGAAATGTTTTTTTAAAGGGTTACTATGGTCATGGAAGAACGAGATGATCAATTATGTGACATGAAACTTAATTTTAAGCAGTGTCAAATTTATGCTAATTTGGTACATAATATTTTCTTATTTAATACATTAATATGTTTCAAACTTATTTGCAATTTGCTTATAATCATTCATAATCATATGAAGTACCATACATGTTCATTAAATATTCATTTGTTTATATAAATATATACATTAAAATCTTAAATTAAGGCAAAAATTTGTATAACCACAAATTAAAAAATTTCTTTTGAAATTTCGTCGTAAGCATTCCATTACAAATTACAAGAGTAATGGATAATAGAAGACTATTTCATTATAAATTACAGAAGTAACGTATAATGCAAGAAGTCACCCATTAACCAATTTCTTTTATATAATTGGTAAAGCATTACTTTTATCTCGCTTCCTCAATTTTCAAATTCCGCGCCCAGTGGTGATTCCAACTCGCGCATGTGCACTAGTTTTAATTTGTCGGAAAAGTAAAAATAAGTAAAAATCGTACGTAGATACGAATATTAAAGGCTCTGACACGAGGTATTTATTTATTAAACTACGCTGTGGCATTGGAATAACAAATAAAAGAAAATATTTGCGTTTAGGATGTTCCAAATAAAACGGGAGGGGGTTGGAGAATCTACGCTTACCTGCGAAAACGGTGTCACTCAATTGCCGCGCTCGTGTTGATCGTAACCAATCGTAGCAGTCACTTTCAACTGCTTCTTTCTGTTTGAATAACGGAACAAGGTGAGAATTTCGCGTATTTCTCTTTGTTATTAACAGTTATTAATATATAAAATCATTAAGTTACAAGACTAAATTGTATTATGGTTATTAAAGTTAAATATGTAGAAATATGTAACGCGTTTAAGTTCGTTTGAAAAAGTATTCTTGAAAAACACGTGGGCTAGCGGCATTATAGAAGTAATATCGTCGAATTCAATCCAAATTGAAAGCTTAGCTTAGAAAATTATGTCAATTATACTTTTAGAACAGTTAGAAGTATTTGAAAGTAAAAATTTGAATATATGTTACAGGCAGGGTCGTGTGTAAATGAAGAAGAAAAAAGATGGTCAAAGCAAGGACTAGGTTCCCCAGAGTTAAATCTTCTGGAGAGGAATGTAAGGCAAGTGATGCTGAACATAAGGTAAGTGAAACAAACAATTTTTTAAAATGAGAAAGAAGAAGGTAGGAATATGTGCTTTTGTGTTAATCTATCGGGTTGTAGGACCCAACTAAGTGATTACGGATTTTTGTAAGCTATTAGAGCACAATCTTTGTACAGAATAAAATATTTTTATTTAGTAATGTATTGTTCATTCGTATCAATGACCTTCTGTCATCTTTCAGGCAACATCATAATTTCATGTTCACAAAACTTCTGGTGTTGATCGGTAAGAAACTGAATCAAGTGCGATTCGTTATCATCGTCATCATTGAAAATTTTACATCATTGATATTATTTACTGTAAATGGCGAATTGTGCTACAAGTTGCTACATGTAATTCTGCTTTTTCCACAGCTGTAGTAAAATCTTTAACCGATTTTGGTGGATGAATGCTTAATAGATCAAATAAATATTGAATAATGCTAATGTTGTTGAAATAAAATATATTATTAAATTTAATAAAGGACATAAGTTTTGTTACCAATTGGTAAAGTGTAGTTTGTAGTTTCTTTATTGAAGAGGGCAGTTTTGAACGCCTGGGGGTGGACCCTTCCATTACTCCTGACACCTTCAGAAGTGGCGTTTTTCGACGTGCCCCTTTTTACAGGGATGAATTAACCCCTTCGTATCAACCCTCGCCAATGCAGCTTTGCACACATTTAGAGGACACTTCAAAACTACTCCTCACAAGACTTGCTGTAAAGTGCCAATAGTACAGTCAAAACGATCAATTTTTACATTTAGGTCCAATAATCGATGGTACTGCTAAAGTAATGATAAACGTCATTGCCTCGTGTCATGGAGAAGTTTAAACAACTGTATTCACGGTCAAGTGCTAACGCATAACGCCTTGACAATGCGTGAACAATTAACAAAAGTAAATACAGAATTCATTGTAAACATAACAGACTTGACCAACTGCTATCTTTATCTGTTTACTTTGGGAATGTATAGTCAGTCCCAAGTTACAGTTGGTGTTGTTGAATGTGTGATTTCAATGTATGTATTATATATTGATGAGTGGTGTCCGTGTGACAATGATGTTCATAAAAAATGAAACGAAATTAGTCTGTACAAATTTTATTTATATATACATTAAAAGAAAATGTGTTATACAATATATTACGTAATATACTAATAAATAAATAAAAATGTTTTAATGTACACTTTGAATCTACTAGCACCCTAGGCAGGCAGCACTTTACCCATAGCAAATGGAAACCTCTCGTTGGTGTCGAAGTAGTAGTCACCTTTGACCTCTAAATTAGGTCTGGGTCCTTCCATAAGTACAACAGGATTCGAATTGCACTCTCTATTTTTGTAGCTCTTGTAACTATTGCACTGCACCCCCCAGAATCCCTTGTCGGAGATAATAGATTCAGCAAAGTAAAAAGGTGCTCTGTAATGCGCGCATGCTGCAAGGAAATCAGTCCCGCAGCCGAATTGCACGGTGCCACCGTTTGGATAGAAATCCGCGTGGCCTATCGAGGTGTTGAAACCCAGCAGTCCAGCGCTAGAGTGGATGATCGTCACGTGTTTTCCACATTCACGAGAGACCCTCTGGCCTACTTCTGCCGTCTCGAATCTTGGGAGAGCTGGATCCAGGCCTGGAAGAAGATTTAAGGACTGTTGTAGTTTAATATATACGTATTAAATATTATATGTATACAGGGTGGTCCCAGAACTCCTGTAAGAACCGAAAATGGGGTAGCTGACACGATTCTGAACAACAATTTCCTTTGCAAAAACCTCAGCTGCGAGAGGCTAACTCGAGCCAGGATACTCGTTATTAAGTGAATGTTTCAAATTGTTACTTACTGACAATGTGTTTGGCCTTGTGTTTTGCATAATACGACGACAATCCTGCAATGTGACCGCCAAGAGAGTGGCCAACTAAGGTCAGCTGAGAAGCAGACATTCCTTGTTCCTCGAGGTGACTGATTATAGAGGCAACGTATTTGGCGACCATCAGGACTCTGCTACTGGCATAGGGATATGGATTCTTGGATATTTTTGACCAATCCACCAAGATGACGTTGCAGTCGCTTGTTTGGAGAAAGGCTGTGGAAGATATGGAAGATATGGAAGAATTAAATGATTTCAATCATATCACGAAGAAGTGAATGTGTTTAGTTATTCATTCTATTAGGTTGTCCGAAAAGTTTCTTTCGTTTTATTAATAAGTAATACGTACACAATATTTTATGTCGAATGTTACATTATTGAATCGTGTACGATTCATTTTGCTCCATTACTCTACAACATCAATATCTAAGAAATTAGATTGTCTATTTATATAAACACTACCGCACAAAATAATGGAGTGCAAATTACGAAAGAAACTTTTCGGACAACCTAATACATGGGCAACGAAAGAATCGTGATAAATTAAAACCCTTTGGGTCCCATACTTAAGGAGCAAAAAAAAAATCACAAGTGTTGCTTATTTTTTGACCGAAGGAGGTAGAAACTCTCTTTAAACTATACATATATTGTACAAAGAAGTGGTCAATCGGAATTTTCTTAAAAAAACATAATAACACGTACCGTCTCGCATCTGGATGCAAATGGGATTTTCATATGAGTTCTGCCATCCGTGTATGACGAAGAACGTTGGTCTTTTCGTACTGAAATGGGAACGCTTCAAACCAATGAAATCATTGCGACGCAACACCTGACCCACCTGTGGATTAGATTTCGTGAACAAGTGGAAAGTGACTCGATTTGGTAGATCCTTCTCAGTTTCTTCCATGCTTTCTTCCTTGAACATACTCATATCAACTAGAACTGGCTTTTGCTCGTCGTCGTATACATACGGAGATACATTTGCAAGCGTATTTATTACAGCTTTTCCTCCTTCTACTTGCTCTGGACTCTTCTCCATTTCTCTTGCTCGTTCCTTTGAGTCTACTTGTTGCTTCGGTTCTGTTTGTTCCTTGAGCTCGGTTTGAGCCTTCGGTTCAATTTGTTCTTTAGGTTCCATTTGACTCTTTGGTTCCATTTGACCTTTTAGTTCCGTTGATTCCATTTGTTGCTGCTGTTGCGTTTGTTGCTGCTGTTGCTCCTGTTGCATTTGTTCTGTCGGCTCCGAGGAGACTATAAATAATATTTCCATCTCGAGTAAAATCAGTAGCAAGAATGAGTAGCGAGAAAAATATTGAAAAAAAGCGTTGCGACTGTTAATGGAAAAAAAAAAGGAAATAGAATATCTAAAGAAAGTTTAATTATTTACCGCAGACACTGCACGCGAGGAGGATGCAAAGTAGGATTTGAGTCTTCATGGTTGGCTCGAATATACTTGCAGCAACCATTTGAGGGTAACTTTATAAAGCCTTCGACCGACTGAATCAATACATTAATTTCAATAACAAGACAATTTATTGCCATCTAGAAATTTCCAACGCGTGAATTATAGTCACATTTGTGAAACAATTGTTTTCACAAAGAGTGAAAAAACATTGACGTTATACTAAGAATTGTTCAAATAGAAATTCATGGACAATCTTTGGAAAACTCGTTAATTTCAATTCCATCTGACTTGAAATTCACGTGTATTGTTTTTAGTTATTGGATTGTTGATTTTCATGCATTTGTAGGAAATTTATAAGAACCTACGAAATGCGCACGGTATGCAATAAATAACCTAACGTACAATAAACCTAAACGTACAAATGGTTACATTAAAAATAATATACACTTAGACTAATGACACACTCAAAACACTAATACACTTAACAATAAACCTATAATTACTGCGCTTAATGCTACGTCAATGTTACATGAAGAGGAATTTATTATACATGGTTGGATTGGGATTATGTCATAGAAAACGGCACCAGGAAAAAACTATACATATGTTGTGATTGGAAGGGTTGGAGTGGATAATTGGGGGTGCGTTGATTATATGTTTTAATGAAATAAAATTTCGGATCAAAGTTTAAACAATAAAAATAAAAAATAATACTCTCCCCGGCGGGGAATCGAACCCCGGTCTCCCGCGTGACAGGCGGGGATACTGACCACTATACTACCGAGGAGGCCGCGTCTGTCTTTAATAAATAAATGAGACAGTAGATACTGTCTGTGTCAGTTTGGATTATTAACTTAATAAACACTGTATGACGCCATTGATTCCGTTCCTCACTTTTTTATTATAATGTAACATACTACGGACAGCGATACGACCCGTGCTGAGGACTAAACCGGACTGTTTGTCGCTCCCGGTCGTCGTCTCTTAAAAAGGGCATTCGGTAAAAAGGAAAGAAAATTCGATAGAAAAAGAAGACAGAGCAAAAGGAGAAAATTCGAAAAGTTTGTAAGCAAGGATAACGGAAGAAGATCATAAATAAATTACTGAAGCGGTTTGCTGGAGCCTGAGAGCCGACGCTACCCAGGCGAAACCTTGAAAGGGACACGGTGAATTAGAGACGATGACAAAGAGCTCCAAGAGATTATCCAAAAGTCGGTACCTGAGGGCCATACCCGAGCCCACCCGAAGGTGGTGATGGGTTTGTTAAACGACAAACGGGCGCCTAATAACTGATTATTAGTACCAGTTGCCACTGGTAGGGATTCTTATCCTGAGGAACCCACACAGGTCGACCGGGAAAGAAAATGGAAAGCCTTCTCAATCGTTACATTATTAGTATTCGTATTAAAACGACAAACGGTCGCCTAATAACTGATTATTAGTACCAGTTACCACTGGTAGGGGTTCTTACCCTAAGGAACCTACACAGACCAACCAAGGAAGAAAATGAAAGACAAGCCCTCTCCATTATTACATTTCATCGAGGCAAGTACTCGGAAACCTCGTAAAACTCTAGTCTCCAGCAATTGTAAAGGAGTTTTGCTCTAGGGTCCTCTTGTTCTGGGGAGGTCTAGCACCACCGACCACCCCAGGGGACGGACCCCTTTAGCCGGCGACTGACTTGCAACAGAACATTGTAACGTAACGCGAGCATTCGCTTAGTTTGGCGGACTAGCGAGCGACGAACCGACCTGTTCTTGCGCTCGGTTCGCGCTCTTGCGTGCTCCACTGGTCTGTCGGTTTTTTGACGAATCTCTTTGAACGTCTACTTCTCACTGAACTGAGTAGGAAGCATTGAGAGAGAATTCAGCCGCGAGTTCGAAGCGAGCATTCGTGATTCCAAGAAGGACCTTGTAATGTAACGTTGGTGTCGAACCGTAAAATTCGTGCTGAACAGTTACATTACAGCGTTCTGTTGCGAGTCAGTCGCCGGCTTCACAGAACTCGCTTCAGCTGTCGTCGTTAGCTTGATAGGTATTCACCGCAAGGTTTCAAGCAATTTAATTGGTCGATCCCCTCCCCGTCGTAGGAATCGGGAATAGCCTGTTGGATACGAGCGTGCCACGAGGTTCAGAGTGGAGGGGAAGCTCCACAAAGCTTGACGAATCCGATGGTAAAGTTTGTTGTGCAGCAATTCACAAGGCAGTTCGATTGGATGTCACGTAACCGCGACACCTCTTCTTGTATAGTCGCTGGTAGGGATCTTGTGAGCTCGTAAACCGAAACAGCAGTCACGTATCGCTTTATTGGGACAGGTAACTGATCGGACGACAGGGACGTTGCGGCTCTAAGGTATACACAGAGCGAATTATACGAGCTGTCGATCGCTTTCTTCTACCCCCCACTCCGTGTTCAAACGATTTCAGAGGGGGTGCGCGGAGGCATATAAAAGCGTCGCGCGATCGAACGCGTCGCATTCGCGTTTCTGAATTCACAGGAGCACGTACCGCGTTCAAAGTTCCACCTACGCATCTGAAAATGTCGATGTTATCGAAATTGTCGATGGTTGACAAGCTCGATGGCTCGTTGAGTTTACCTCTGAATAGTTTGGATCCTTCGAGTGATCTGTTCCGCGATAATGCTGTAACCGTCTATCAAGATCGAATTGAGACCTATCGAGCCGAAATGAAATTGGTGAATGGTGAAACGGTGGAACCGATCGTGTTCAGGGTGCTCCGGTGTGCAACGGAATCAGGGGGGGAACGTAAAGGAAAGTAAATCTAAATTGCGTAAATTAATGGCACGTGTACTTTACGAGAATTAAACAAAAATATTGCTCTGAAATTACACGTTTCACTATTTATACAACACACTATTGTAATTTATTACATGTAACGTCTTTACTATTCTTGCGCCTCTTGTCTATTACAGTAAAGACTGGATAAGTGCAAGACAGGATTTATTGGGTAAATGCAACGCTCGGCGACAAACCCTTTGCACTCGAGAGGTGACTCTCGGTCATCATTAGGTTTCACGCAGCAAATCTATCAGCAACGATGTTTCTTTAGGTTTCATTTCTTTGGAATTCGTCAATAAAATGATTGTCGGTGCGGCAAAGGTGGCCTGATTCTCAAATCTCGATAACTTAGCATAGATGCTTTCTTAGGATTCTATTGTCTCACCGATACGCTTCTGCCTACTGCTTTCTTCCCTCGGACCTCTCTCTCTCTCTCTCTCTCTCTCTCTCTCTCTCTCTCTCTCTCTCTCTCTCTCTCTCTCTCTCTCTCTCTCTCTCT